AAGTTCATCGCAGTATGAAGTCTAAATAAATGCCTTTTTTAAGCTTGTTCGCTGGATTTTTCGTAAACTTCCCTGATTAATTTTTCGTTTCAGCTTACTAATCTATACTATTTCAAAACAAAGAAGTTTTCAGAGAAAACCATGAGTCGGTCCTTTCAATAATTGTAAACAAAGTGTTTGAACAATCAGGTATACGAGGTATAATAATCAATAGCTACATATCAGAAGTCTTCAGAAAGAAATATTCTGTTTTCAGAAAGCTGTCAAGAAAGCTAGTAATCGTGGTGGAAGGCAATTAAATGCACTTCTTGGCAATTTGGAAACGGGCCCTCGGTATCGATTTAAGGTGTATTACAACGAGGTTGATGTACATCAGCTTAAAGATGAGAACAGCCAGTTGAGGGGAGAAAAAATAAAATTAGAATAATTGTTGGTACAGGAGAAAGCAAAGCGATTGCGAGTAGATAAAAAAGCCCGAGAAGCTCTCGAGAAAGCTGAGAAGAAAGGGGCCTTCTACAATAAAAAATTTATTCAGTTGGCCAAAAAAGTGATTACAAATGGGAAAAAAGGTAGAGGCCCAGCTAAGAAGAAGTTTAATGACTATTCTAAGCACTATCAAAAGAGAATTAAAAACCAACAGAAGGAGGAGGCCAAACTATACTCTCCTTTCTTGGGCTGTACAATTTTGTTGCAACCAAAATTGAAGTCCTCAACACTGAGACTAATCAATATGAAACTTTCAATCTTGTTGGAGAGGGAGAGCTGCCATTTACAGAGTCTGACCCAAAGGCCCTTAATAATGGTGACATTGATAACATAAATATTTGGCTCTACCTCAAAGATAAATTCATTAATTCAAATGAGGCCTGGCATGAAATTGCCATTAAGGCTAATGATCTCCCCAATATATATTCCATCAAGAAGCGAATTAATGAGCTAAACAGTAAATGGAACTTGAAACCAACACCAGGAGATGCTGAAGGCGTTCAGTTAGGATTTGCAGAAAGCTTGCAGGAGCACATTGTTAGGCTTCAGAAGAATGGAGAAATCAATGATGGAGAAACTATTAAGATCAAGCTTAGTGGTGATGGTAAAAATATTGGAAAGGGGCTTACAGTTGTCAACTTCACTTTTACTATTCTCCATGAAAAGGATGTGGCAATGGGTGAGACATATGATAATCTGAGAGACAGCCTAGCTGTAGCGGCACCCGTGTTCCGCCCTTTTTTACGTCATGTATGCGTCGCGGATTTCTGCTCATGCGCGCTAGTTTTGTTATGTTATTGACCACGCGGTCCGATGCTAGAGCCCGGAAAGGCGTAAGTTTTTACCTTTCTGCTTGCCGTTTTCCAGTTTTTCTGTATACCAATTGTACATCTGTATATCTAGTTTGAAAGATTCACTTCTTTAGCGATTTGGAGATGTATTACGCGTGTGGATTTGTGATTAAAGCTATGATAATCTGTTCAAGTCAAATGGGTGTTTTGGATTTCGGACCCGCGCTGGCATACTAGCAGACCTTCGAATGGAAATGTCAAACTTAAAGGAGATAAGTGCAAATAGTTGCACCTATAAAATTGAATACTTTTTAGGTGGAGATTTGAAATTTTTAGCACTGGTATGTGGTTTAGGCAGGGCAAATGAGGATTATGCTTGTGTGTGGTGCAAGTGTCCCAGGGAGCAACGGTGGGACACAAGCAAAGCATGGTCAATTAATGACCCCAAATTTGGTGCTATAACTGTTGCCGAAATAGCAAGGTTTTCCACTGGAAAGAAATTAAACTGTAAGGCACA